TTGTAAATTTTTTTTTTTGAAATTTTTTTGGGAAATTTTTATGATTTTTTTTTGAAAAATTTTTTTTTGTTTGGGAAATTTTTGGTTAATTTTTTTTGAAAAAAATTTTTTTTTTTTTTAATTTTTGTGATTTTTTTTTGATAAAAATTATTTTTGGAGAATTTTTTTAAATTTTTTTGAAAATTTTTGTGATTTTTTTTTGAAAATTTTTTTTTGTTTGTGAAATTTTTGGGAAATTTTTGTGATTTTTTTTTTGAAAAAATTTTTTTTTGGTGAATTTTTTTTTTTTTTTGGGAAATTTTTGGGAATTTTTTTGTTTTGAAATTTTTTGGGAAATTTTTGTGATTTAAAAAAAAAAATTTTTTTTTGTTTAGGAAATTCTAGGGAATTTTTTTTGAAAAAAAATTTTTATTTTGAATTTTTGGGAAATTTTTGTGATTTTTTTTTAAAAGAATTTTTTTTTTGAAATTTTTTGGGAAATTTTTGGGAATTTTTTTTGAGAAAAATTTTGTTTTTGGAGAATTTTTTTTTTTTTTAATTTTTTGGGAAATTTTTGTGATTTTTTTTGAGAAAAATTTTGTTTTTGGAAAATTTTTTTTTGAAATTTGTTGGGACATTTTTGTGATTTTTTTTTTTTTTTTTTTTTTTTTGAAATTTTTGGAACATTTTTGTGATTTTTTTTTTTGAAAATAATTTTTTATTTTGGTGCAATTTTTTTTTTTTTTGGGAAATTTTTGTGATTTTTTTTGAAAAATTTTGTTTTTCGGAAATTTTTTTTTTGGGAAAATTTTTTGGTAAATTTTTGTGATTTTTAAAAAATTTTTTTTTTTGGCAAATTTTTTTTTTGGGAAATTTTTTTGTTGGGAAATTTTTGTGATATTTTTTTGTTGCGAAATTTTTGGTGATATTTTTTTTTTTGGGAAATTTTTGTGATTTTTTTTTGAAAATAATTTTTTATTTTGGTGAAATTTTTTTTTTTTGGAAATTTTTGTGATTTTTTTAAAATTTTTTTTTTTTGAATTTTTTGAAAATTTTGTTTTTGAAATTTTTGGGAAATTTTTGTGATTTTTTTTGAACAATTTTTTTTTTTGGGAAATTCTTTTTTTTTGGAGATTTTTGTGATTTTTTTTTAAATTTTTTGAGAAATTTTTGTGATTTTTTTTTTTGAAAAATTTTTTTTTTTTTGGAAATTGTTGTGATTTTTTTTGAAAAATTTTGTTTTTTTTTGGGAAATTTTTGTGATTTTTTTTTTGAAAAATTTTTTTTTGTGGATTTTTTTTTTGAAGAAATTTTTTGGGAAATTTTTGTGATTTTTTTTTAATTTTTTTTTTTTTTTTTGTAAATTTTTGTCATTTTTTAAAATTTTTTTTGGGATTTTTTTTTTTTTAATTTTTTGGGAAATTTTTGTTAAATCTTTTTCGGAATTTTCTTTTTTTTTAAATTTTTTTGGGAAATGTTTGTGATTTTTTTTTGAAAATTTTTTTTGGGAAATTTTTGTAATTTTTTTCTATCCAAAAAAATTTTTTTTTTGGCAAATTTTTGTGATTTAAGAAAATAAATAATTTTTTTTGGGAAATTTTTTTTTTGAAAAAAATTTTTTTGGGACATTTTGGAAATTTTTTTTTTCCAAAAAAAATTTTTTTGATTTTTTTTGAAAATTTTTTTTTTTGGGAAATTTTTGTAATTTAAAAAAAAAAATTTTTTTGGGAATTTTTTTTTTTTAATTTTTTTTTTGGAAATATTTTTCGGAAATTGTTGTAATTTTTTTGGAACTTTTTTTTTGGAAATTTTTGTAATTTTTTTTGAAAAAAAAATTTTTTAAGAAATTTTTGTAATTTTTTTTCGAAAAAAAAATTTTTTAAGAAATTTTTGTAATTTAAAAAAAAAAAAATTTTTTTCGGAAATTTTGTGTTTTTTTTTTTTGAAAAAAAAATTTTTTGGGAATTTTTTTATTGGGAAATTTGTTTTTTTGTGAAATTTTTGTCATTTAAAAAAAACTTTTTTTGGGAAATTTTTGTGATTTTTTTTTTGAAAAAAATTTTTTTGGGAATTTTTTGTTATTTTTTTTTTAAATTTTTTTTGGGAAAAATTTTGTGATTCTTTTTTTGGAAAAAAAATTTTTTTTTGTGTTTTTTTTTAAATTTTTTTTTGAAATTTTTTGGGAAATTTTTGTGATTTTTTTTGAAAATAATTTTTTATTTTGGTAAAATTTTTTTTTGGGAAATTTTTGTGATTTTTTTTGAAAAATTTTTTTTTTGTAAATTTTTTTTTTTTGAAATTTTTTGGGAAATTTTTGTGATTTTTTTTTAACAATTTTTTTTTGGGAAATTCTTTTTTTTTGGAAATTTTTGTGATTTTTTTAAAATTTTTGTGATTTTTTTCTTGAAAATTTTTTTTTTTTTAAATTTTTTTTTTGAAATTTTTTTTTTTTTAAATTTTTTTTGGGAAATGTTTGTGTTTTTTTTTTTTAAATTTTGTTTTTGAAATTTTTTGGGAAATTTTTGTGATTTTTTTTGAAAATAATTTTTTATTTTGGTAAAATTTTTTTTTGGGAAATTTTTGTAATTTTTTTAAAAAAATTTTTTTTTTTTTGTAAATTTTTTTTTGAAATTTTTTGGGAAATTTTTGTGATTTTTTTTTAACAATTTTTTTTGGGAAATTCTTTTTTTGGGAAATTTTTGTGATTTTTTTTAAATTTTTGTGATTTTTTTTCTTGAAAATTTTTTTTTTTGAAATTTTTTTTTTTTTTTTTTTGAAAAAATTTTTTTTTTTTTTTTTTGGGAAATGTTTGTGTTTTTTTTTTTTAATTTTGTTTTTGAAATTTTTTGGGAAATTTTTTTGATTTTTTTTGAAAATAATTTTTTATTTTGGTGAAATTTTTTTTTTGGGAAATTTTTGTGATTTTTTTTTTTTTAAAATTATTTTTTTGTGAATTTTTTTTTTTTGAAATTTTTTGGGAAATGTTTGTGATTTTTTTGAACAATTTTTTTTTTTGGGAAATTTTTTTTTTTTGGAAATTGTTGTGATTTTTTTTTGAAAAATGTTGTTTTTTTTGGGAAGTTTTTGTGATTTTTTTTTTGAAAAATTTTTTTTTGGAATTTTTTTTTTTTTGAAGAAATTTTTTGGGAAATTTTTGTGATTTTTTTTTAATTTTTTTTTTTTTTTTTTTGTAAATTTTTGTGATTTTTTAAAATTTTTTTTTAAATTTTTTGGGAAATTTTTGTTAAATTTTTTTCGAATTTTTTTTTTTTTTTTAATTTTTTTGGGAAATGTTTGTGATTTTTTTTTGAAATTTTTTTTTTTGGGAAATTTTTGTAATTTTTTTTATCCAAAAAAATTTTTTTGGCAAATTTTTGTGATTTAAGAAAATAAATAATTTTTTTTGGGAAATTTTTTTTTGAAAAAAATTTTTTTGGGACATTTTTGAAATTTTTTTTTAATCCAAAAAAATTTTTTTTTTTTGTAAAATTTTTTTGATTTTTTTTTGAAAATTTTTTTTTTTGGGAATTTTTTGTTATTTTTTTTTTAAATTTTTTTTTGGGAAAAATTTTGTGATTCTTTTTTTGAAAAAAAATTTTTTTTTGAAAATTTTTGTGATTTTTTTCTTGAAAAAAAATATTTTTGGAAATTTTTTTTTTTGGAATTTGTTTGGGAAATTTTTGTGATTTTTAAAAAACAAAAAAATTTTTTTGGGAATTTTTATTTTTTGGTAAATTTTTTTTTTTAATTTTTTTGGGAATTTTTTGTTATTTTTTTTAAAATTTTTTTTTTGTTAAATTTTTGTGATTTTTTTTTTTTAACCAAAAATTTTTTTTTTTGAAAAAAAAATATTTTTTTGGAATTTTTTTGGGAAATTTTTTAGTGAATATTAAAAAAAATATATATATATTTTTTTGGAATTTTTTTTGGGAAATTTTTGAGATTTTTAAAAATAAAATTTTTTGGGAAATTTTTGTTGTTTTTTTTTGAAAATTTTTTTTTTTTTCGAAAAAAATTTTTTTGGAAATGTTTGTGATTTTTTTTTAAATTTTTTTTTGGGAAATTTTTTAAATTTTTTTTTCGAAAAATTTTTTGGGATTTTTTTTTGGGAAATTTTTGTGATTTTTTTTTTTGAAATTTTTGTGATTTTTTTTCGAAATTTTTGTGATTTTTTTTTCGAAATTTTTTTTTTTTTTCGAATAAAATTTTTTTTTTTTTTTGGAAATTTTTTTTTAATAAATAAATTTTTTTTTTGGGAAATTTTTGTGATTTTTTTTTTGAAAAAAAATATTTTTATTGGGAATTTTTTTTATTTTTGAAATTTTTTGCGGAAATTTTTGTGATTTTTTTTTCGAACAATTTTTTTTTTTTGGGAATTTTTTTTGAAATTTTTTTTGTTGTTGGGAAATTTTTGTGATTTTTTTTTGAAAATTTTTTATTTTTTTTTTGGCTAAGCAGTGCTGGGTTCTGGTCACTTTTCTGCAAACCCATTTTTTGCAAATTTTCACAGGTCGGGGGTCATAAAAATGACAAAAAATGGACCAAAAATTTGAAAATAAACCAATGATACAGCTAGATAGATATTTTAATAACAAATTCAGAGAGGTATTCCACTTATAAATCGGGTAAAAATTTCAAAAGTTTTGGACTAAGAAGTGCTGGGATCTAGTCACTTTTCTGCAAACCCATTTTTTGCCAATTTTCACAGTTCGGGGGTCATAAAAAATGACAAAACATCGACGAAAAAATCAAAAATAAACCAATGATGCAGCTAGATAGATATTTTAATAGCAAATTTAGAGAGGTATTCCACTTTTTTATATATGCGCAAGCATATATTAAATTTATTTAAGTGATACAATAATAGAGAATAGTAACAGGGAAAGTTGTACAGAGAATGTATATGACTGCTGGAAACTGATGATTTGACGTGGCTGCAGCTCGATCTGCATCGGCTCGCGACTTAGTGAAGACTGACGAGATCACTTCGCGAGATAATGCAGTCGCATACATAACACCCCTTAACACCCAGATGGATCGTAGAACTGCGGGCGGCGACGGTCAACGGCCGATCTGCGCGGCGGTTCCCCAGTTTCGATTAGCTCGGGCGAGCGCTGTGGACCCACTGGAGTTGTCGGTTCGCCAGCTTCCGCTTCAGTTTGGGTTAGAGGGACACGACCAGTTGGAGATGATATCTCTTCTGATGTTGGCTGCTGCGACGGACTGCGCAACCGCAGCTGATCCAGATGCCGCCTGACGTTCGCTTTTGAGACATGGCCCTCAATCCACTTGGGGCCGCTTGCATAGTTTCGGACCCAAACGGGAGTGCCTGTAACAAAAGACTTTTGAGTTTGGGCCTCGCAGACCTTACCGTATGATATTTCGCCTGGACTTAATTTATCAAAGAATGTTTGGAGCTCCCTATTGAAAAGCAACTCCGCTGGCGAATGCTTTGTGACGGAATGTGGCGTAGTATGTTGATCAAACAAGAAACGAGCTAAAGCTATATTGATGTCCGTGTGACGATCTAGTTTCTTCAAGTAACTCTTCATGGTTTGAACCATTCGTTCGGCCTGGCCGTTGGTTGCAGGGTGGAAGGGCGCTGATCGGATGTGACGGGTCCGATTGTTTTTCGTAAACAACTTAAACTCCTCGGAGGTGAACGCAGTTCCGATGTCCGACACGATTTCATCTGGAATACCATGAGTAGCGAACAGCTGCTGAAGGAAGGTGATTGCTGCGGACGCGGATGTCGATTTCACGGGGCAAACTTCAAGCCACTTCGTAAAGGAATCGACGACTAAGAAAAACGTATTCCCTTGGAAAGATCCGGCGAAATCAATGTGTAGGCGGGACCATGGTTTCTTGGCAGACTCCCAGTGATGTACGTCCGATCTTGGCGGGAAATTGCGCGTATGCTGGCACGCTAAGCATTGACTTACCGCCTTTTCGATATCCGCATCCAAACCGGGCCACCAGACGTAACTGCGGGCTAAAGCCTTCATTCTAACGATTCCCAGGTGGTACGCATGTAACGCAGAGAGAATTTCCTGCCTGTCCATAAAAGGAATAACTGCGCGATTACCCCAAAACAATATTCCTTGGTTACTGGTAAGTTCGTTTCGCCGAACGAAGAAGGGGTACAGGTCATCATGACGCTGAACTTTGACACTACTACTTTGACACTACTCCATCCCCTTAACACCCAGTTGAGTACCTTCCTGAGGCTGCAATCCTTAGACGTGTTGGTTGCTAAAGTGTTTGCGGTGACAGTGGGATCAGTTGCCCATTCAATCATTAAAACTTCTTCTGATTGTGGCTCGGGGTGTACTTCTGCAGCGACTTAGGAAATCCGCATTATTAATTTTGGTTCCTGGGAGGTGAATCAAATTGAATTTATACGCTCTCAAAAAAATTGCTCGACGCATCATTGTGTTAGAAATAATTTGAGGAATTGGCTTTTCTGTTGAAAAGATTCCCAGCAGTGGGCGGTGGTCTGTAATAAGCGTGAACTTCCTTCCGTATAAATAGTAGAGACGAAACGGATAGCAGTTTGGCCGGATACCGGATATCCGACCTTTTGGCCGGATATCCGGCCGCCGAATGTTTTGCAAAACTTAGCCGTTTGCGTAGACGTCGCGCCAACGATCGGGTGGTCTCGGTTCGATTTGGGTCTTTTCGTTGATGAGTGAAGTTAACAGTTGTACCCATGGTACAATTATACAAGGTCGTCTCGTCGGCTGCGTCATTCCCCTATCGACACTACAATGGGAGCGAGAGAAAGAGTGTTTTCCTACGAAAACACTACGCTCGGGTCGATAGGGGAGTGAACCCGAACAATTCTGCAGCCGACGAGACTACTACATAATATGCCCTTAGTGCAGTGAGTACTAAATGTACTAATTCCTTTTCCTTATATCACATTTACTTACTATTGTGTAATTTAATATTTAAGATTAACTAAATAAAGCAAATAATTTTTTTTTTTTTTTTTTAGACTTTGCTTGTTTATTTTGAATCTTCTCTTACGAGACTAACAAAATGTGTTAAAATCTTAAAGTACTACATTATTCTAACAATTTGTTAAACTGTATTTATGTTAGACTGTCCTAATAATTATCGCTGGATGGGAAGGTCGTTACGACGAAGGCGGGAGCGGCTACATACCAACGTCAATGCTCTAGCGAGGTGGTTTGGATGAGTTGACAGCTTTGTGTAGTAATTTTGCATGTGCTGCGCTATTACATCTCGGACGGGGGGTACATTCAAGTCTCTCTGAATATTTACACTCCGAACGTACCACGGTGCCCCAGTGATAATTCTTAGGATCTTTGCTTGGGCTCTCTGCACGATTTCTACGTTGCTGTTGCTGGCGCTGCCCCACAACTGGGAGCCATAAGTCCAGATTGGTTTCAAAACTGTATTGTAGATAAGGACCTTGTAGTCCAGACTGAGTGGGGAGCGGGAGTTGATCAGCCAATGCAAACTATTTGCCTTCAGCCTTAGATGAGTTCGTTTAGCTTCAATATGCGTGCGCCAGGTAAGCCGTCTGTCGAGATGTACGCCAAGATATGTTACATCATCTGACTGGGGAGCACGATGTTGTTTAGTGTAAGGTTTGGGCAGTTTCGTCTAATTAAGGTAAATGTTACTTGTTTGCATTTTTGCTCATTTACTTTTATTCGCCAGTCTGAGAGCCATTTCTCCACTACTTCTAGATGTGCCGCAAGTTGCGCTGAGGCTTGTTGTGGACATCTAGATCGGCTGAGGATCGCGGTGTCGTCGGCAAACGTGGACATAGTCAGTTGACTGCTCGTAGGAATATCAGAAGTGTAGAGTAGGTATAAAGTTGGCCCGAGAACGCTCCCTTGAGGAACTCCTGCTTCGATGTTACGTTCAGCTGATATGGAAGTATTGCATCTCACCACAAATATTCTGTTGTAAAGATATGACTTCAAGAGTTTGTGCGTGTTATTAGGGAGCATTATTTTGATTTTATGCATTAGGCCGTCAAGCCATACTCTGTCGAATGCTTGGGAGACGTCCAAAAATACCGCAGTGCAGTATTCCCTATTTTCAAATGCACTTCGAATTTCTGAAGTTATGCGGTTCACCTGTTCGATAGTTCCGTGTTTTTCGCGAAAGCCGAATTGATGTGCTGGGATAATATTATGTCTTCTGAAGTATGGTATGATACGGGTCAGAAGGCATTTTTCAAAGAGTTTTGATAGACAGGAAAGTAAACTAATCGGTCTGTATGAGGAGGCGAGGGTGTGGTCTTTTCCTGGTTTTGGTATCATTATGATGATTGACTTTTTCCACCTCTTTGGGAAGCAGCCCAGTCTTGTCATCGCGTTGAACAGCTGGCATATGGTACCAACGGCGCATAGTGGGAGTTCTATAAGCATTTTTGGAGTTATTAGATCGCAGCCTGGAGATTTTCTCGGTTGTAGCTGCTCTTTTATAATTTTTATGACTTCGCATGGTCGAAATACAATTGGTTCGGCAATAGGAAGGTCGTCTTCAGTTTGCGATCTTATATTACGCACGTTTGTTACTGGATTTGGCTGGAACACATTTTCAAGGTGGGCAGCGAATGTGTCGGCTCTGTCTTTGTCGCTTCTGGCCCAGCAGCCTGCAGGAGTCCTTATTGGCGTAACCGTTACTGTTGGAGGGCTCAGTGTTGAGTGGGCTTTCCATAGTGGGAATTTTGAGCTGAATGGAGATAGTTGTTCTATATAGCGATGTTGGGACCTGTCTTCTTCTTGTCGTAGTGCCTTGGTGAGTCTGCGTGAAGCTTCTTTTAACTGTTGCTTTGCAGATGGCGATCGAAGAGATTGCCATACACGTCGGGAACGACGCTTTGCTAGGACTAGCTGCTCTATTTCTGCGTTTGTATGCTTTATGTTATGTGTTGTGTTTTGCCTTGGTGGTGTTGCGATTCGTGCCGCTGAGGCCAAAACTGACTCTAGCATGCATACGGTTCTGTTGATGTCGTCCTCGCCGGTTAGCTGTGGTGTAAGTTCGATGTGCGAACTTACGTATTTTTTGAATTTGAGCCAGTCTGTGCTTCTAGAAGTTAGCATGACGGGGCTGTCATTACTAACTGGCTGTTGGTTTAGGATAAAAAGTACAGGCGAGTGATCTGATGATAGATCCGAGAGAGAACTGGCGCTAATTAGATTTCGTGGGATGTTTTTTGTAACTGCGAAGTCTATCAAGTCTGGCAGTTTTCTGGGGTCGCTAGGCCAGTGTGTAGGTGATCCAGGGGAAACGCAGTCAAGTTTGTTGCTAGGATTTATAATTGCATAATACAGTTGTCTACCTTTCGGCGTCACGAGGCGAGATCCCCAGTGCGTATGCTTGGCGTTGTAGTCTCCTGCTGCTATGAAGTATTTGCCTAGTGAGTTGAAGTAGTCAGTAAACTGGGCTTCGGATATCATGAATCGAGGAGGACAGTATACCGCTGCTAGAGCTAGATTGTGACAACCCAACTGTATATTGATAGATGTGGCTTGCAGGTAGTTAGTAGCAAACGTGTTGTGAAAGTGGTGCTTGATGCGGTTTTTAATCAGGACTGCAGTGCCTCCGTGGGCCTTTCCATCAGGATGATTGGTGTTGTAAAACATATACCCTCGGATTTGGAAATTATATTTGTTGGTAAGGTGGGTTTCTGCAAGTAACATTACGTCGATTTCATTGTCGTTCATAAATTGTGCTAGCTCAAGTTTGTGCCGTGAAACACCGTTGGCATTCCACAGTGCAATGCGCAGGGGAGCCATTGATTATTTTGATAAAGTGTTTTGGAGCATCTGAATCAAAATATTCTGATTTGTCAACATACTTTGCATGGTCGTCCGCATAAATGAAATGAATTCATCCATACTTTGTTGCAAACTGAGCATCATCGTTTCCATTCTATTTTCTGTGTGCTCTGCTAGTTGGTGAGAGACTGTAGGTGGTGGTTGGACATTGTAAGCGGGGCTCGCATGACCCGATTTTAAAACGCTTGCAAAACTTACGTTTTTATTTGTAGTGGAACTGCCGAGTGATGATCGGGCTGCTGACGAAAAGAAGACTTCAGGTGTGAGTTTAGAGGGTATCAATGGTGTGTGGTGAGATCGTGCTGTTGAGACTCTTTGGTTTATCCGACTTTTTAACTCCTTGTATACTGGACAGCCTCTGTAGTTTGCTGTGTGGTCTCCTCCGCAGTTACTACACTTTTTGCTATTTGGCTCATTTTTTAATTCACACTTAGCTGAGGTATGCAGCCCTCCGCAGGCGACGCATACAGAGCGGAGTGTGCAGTAAGATTTGGTGTGTCCGTATTCCTGGCAATTTGCGCACTGGACTGGGCCATTGCGTTTATGCGGCTCTTCAACCGTGATTCTGCGATGCATTAGAAACTGGAGATTGTAGATGGGATGGACTTCATTTTTCTTAAGCGCCTTAGAGTCAGGTGCAAGTTCCACTTTAAAGAGAGGTTGCGGTTGTTTATTTCGGTTACGTATGTTTATAACTGTTTTTACGTTAAAACCTTTGTCTTTTAGTGCCTGCTCGACTTCAGCAGTGCTTACGTCTGGTTCTATTCCTTTTATAACAACTTGTTGACCTTTACTACTTTTTAGCTGGTAGGTGTAGTAGTTCTTTTTCTTGGCATCTAGGAGCTCCGTCAGTTTTTTAAAGCTTTCTTCGCTTTTGACTTGGACCTTTGTTTCATGTATTTCTCCTTTAGTCAAGGGGATTACGTGGAAGCTATCTTTACCAATCAGATCGATTATTATATTAACGAGGTTGTTGGAGTTTTTCTCTCGAATGTAAAGCGGAGGCGGCCTCGGTTTCTTTTTGTCCGTATCCAAAACTGTAGAAGCGATTTCATCGGACGTGTCAGCCAAAAGTTGAAATCTATTTGCAGTATTAGAGTTTTGCACGGTTCCTTGGCTTGGGAAAGCCCTATTGATTTTTGCGGCGTTGCCCATTTTCGTGCCCTGTGGGCTTAGTTTTC